AATCACGCAAGCGCCTCTAGCGGCTGTCAATGAGACAGCCACTAGAGGAATTGGAGGAAGGATTAACCCATTTGTAAACATAGCAGTTTCTCTGAAACTGCTATGTTTATAAAAAGATGGGTTAATCCTAGCTGGACCTGGCACCCAGACCACTTCATTAAGCTGAAGTGGTCTGGGTGCCTAGAGTGGTCCTTTAAATAATGATAATCTGAAATAGCATTTAAAGCCCAGGTATGTGCCAGGCTATTTGGGCATATAATCCATGCCTGCTGGTCTAGTACACAGGAGGCTAATTGTGATATATTCTTTTTACCCCCCCCTCCATTCTTTTAATCCCCTCCATTTTTTTTAATCCCCCATTCTTTTTAATCCCCCCTCCATTCTTTTTTACTCACCCCCAATTTTTTTACTCATCCCTCCATTTTTTTTTTTTCTCCCCCACCCCCACCCTCCCCTCCATTTTTTACTCCCCCACCCTCCATTCTACTCCCCACTCTTTTTCCCCCACCCTCCATTCTTTTTACTCCCCCCTCCCTCCTTCTCACCTCCCCTTCCCTGTGCAGAGTGGGTGCCGAAGCGCCTCTTCGTCCTGTCAGTCCGGCCGGGTACCGCGCGGTACATGAGATTCAGTTACCTGTTCCCGGCCGGACTGAAAGGAAGTGAGCACTCAGTGTGCACTTCCTTTCAGTCCGGCCGGGAACAGATAACTGAATTTCCTGTACTGCGCGGTACCCGGCCAGACTGACAGGACGAAGAGGAGCTCGGCCACCCACTCTGCACAGGGAAGGGGAGGTAAGAGAGGCAGTGCGGCAGCCGTCTGAGCGCTCTCTATTGAGCGCTCAGGCGGCTGCAGCATTAGCATACCCGGCGTATAAGACGACCCCCCACTTTGGAAAAGATTTTCCAGGGGTAAAAAGTCGTCTTATACGCCGGAAAATATGGTAGTTGCACGTATACACCTGCTGGTGATTGATTGCACCCAACGGTTTGTAGGCTAAATCTGCCATGTGTGTCCTGGGCTAGCTATGACATAGAGGGGACTCAGTTATTTTTCCTTCTTCCCAGCTAAACACAGTTTTCTTTATGGCAAATTCTCTATTGTATCATTCATCAAATTTTTTAAGCGATATGTCTTCCAAAAAAGCTCAAGAGAGTAAAGTTTCAACAAAAGCTGACAAGAAAGGCCAGAAACAAGAAAAAAGACTCTCTGCTTTTTTTTGTCCCACAAGACAACCAAGAATGTCTGGAGCAATCATCTTTGAAATCTTTACATATAGGGGTTTCTACCTCACCTATTAAAGCTCTAGATAAAGAAGTAGTTACTCCTACTTTTTTAAAGAAATGCTTGGAAGATATCTCTAAAGATATTAAAAAAGATTTGAGTGATAAATGTTCTGATATGAAAATGGATTTAGCTGTGTTAAAGGGACGTATTCAAAAAATAGAGGAAAGGGAAGAAGATATAGAATTCCAGCTTCAGGAGGTAAAGGAGACCCAAATTAAGATGGTATTGAAAATGAAAGAAATGGAAGACAAAGTGTGTGATCTGGAAGATAGATCAAGAAGGCTGAACCTAAGGTTCAGAAATATACCTGAGGAAATACCAGACACTCAACTATATGATTTTCTAATAAATTATTTTAATTGTTTGGGGATTCCCATGGCACAGCAAGATACAAAGATGTCTCTGTAT